TTTTCAGATGGAAAATCGTTGCGCGCTCTCGCGACATTTTTCGATAATTAAATCAGCGTTTGCGTAAGCCTCGTTATAGAACAATACGCGAGGCGTAGCTCGCGGGGCGACACGACCATTAAATAACACTTAGCATATATAAGGTGGCTAATAGCAGTCATTGCAGAGAGTTGACAACTTGCGATAGCGCCTGCCACCCGCGGGTGACAAAAGCAGGTTCGCGGAGTAGATCGTGTGGGTGTGGAGAGTGATTCATACAGCTCCCGTAGCCAGCTGTGAACTGACCGTGGCAATCATCATCCTATATCTCCGTCATCCACAATTAGCATATGGTTGACTTGTGCTTGTGAGCATCGCCAGGCCTGGGAGAGCTGCTGCTGCTACACCAGATGCCCCCACCTCCCGCGGACCGCTCACCCAGCTTCCCATGTAACTCGTGGACCACACCATGTCGAGCACTTAGTTGGAGTGAAGGGGTGCCGCCCTTGCAAAAAAAAACAACCGTACACGTTAAAATGGATTTCGGATATGATCGCACCGTTTAAATTATCGTTAGGATGTTTGATTAAAAATATAGATAGTCCCCATTTCGTTTTACGCTTACCATTCAATTCATCCATGCTCCTGCCACGTGTACATGCACACGCCTCCTCGCACCCATCACCACGAGCGCCACCAATTTCACACTGGTATTAATAAGTGCCAGAGCTAAAGTCAGGCTCGCCAACGCATCTTCTACTGACCGACAGCGGGCTGTTAGCAAGTTCTAAGCTAAGAGTTCTACTTATATCTGCTACCATTGTCCGCGTGCTCATTTCACGTCCTCTGCCCGATCGTGTCAACCCGTCGCTGTGACAAGAACGCGTCCAAGTTTGTCTACCAGTCCGTCGTTTCTATGCGGACGTTATATCGTTGAAAGGCAAGTATAGTATATAGTGTGGAATCCCTTTTGAACGGGCGCTGGTTCGCGCGAGTATAACCATCATAGCGATGATGATGATGATTGACGTGACGGGACCGTGGACGCCCTGAACTGATGGCGACTAACCAAATGTTCGGTGCCGGAGACAGAATGCGAACAAACCGTCGCATGAGGATATGTGAGCCGCAAACCTCGCCTGCGTACGCGTGCGTGCGTGCGTGCGTGTGTGCTTGCATTCGTTCGTATGTGCTTGCATTCGTGCGTGACTGCGCGTGCGTGCGTTGACTTACGCGTTACGGCATCAGGTGTGAATAAACAAATGTGTTTTTTTATTCACTCCTGATAACATGCACAGTCACACACGCACACGTGCATCAAAAATTGAATAATGGCAATGGACGTAGCGGTTAAGCAGTAGCGATGATATAACAAGCTACCGGGGACAGCCGTAGCGATGCCGGATAGCTACTGTGTAGATAGCGGCGAAGATACAGCCGGCAACGTCATCGTAGGTGTGACTCATAGCTATAGGTGACGACGAGGCTGGGCTGGATGACTGGCTGCTTGCACTGATTGGATTGCGCCTGCGGTCGCGCCAGCGTGCGACGATGACATGTCGCAGTGTCGCGACGACGTAGGTTGACAGTCGTGCCGGCGGCACGCACGGAGAGAGAGAGCGAGAGAGAGCCGCGTGTACCCGTGCGCTTCCAGTCTCGCTGCTGTACTAGCCATTGGCGATGTCAGCGCAGCGCAGGTGGAGGGAGACCTGCGTACCTGTAACCCCGTGAACGACAGTCTCCTGCGTGTTTACGCCTGTGCGCGTGTGTTTAGGTAGAGCCCGTAAGCTCTCAGTGGCATCTGGATAAGCGAGGATGCTTCCGTCACGTAGTGCCGTGCTTATATAGTAGGCTATGTCTATGTAAACCAGCAGCCTATACGGTGTCTGTCAGTGAGTCCGAGTCAGCGTCGGCGACGTTATAGCTGTGCGTGCGTGCGTGCGTGCGTGCGAAGCGGTATGTATCTCACAGTATGTGTTAGTGTAAGTCAGCAGCACAGTGTAACCACATAGTTGTTTGTGTGTC